GCTTCGGGTCTGCGACCTTCTTAATTTGTTTGCTTCACCTTGTCGGCCTCGCGCTGCGCGAATGCCTGCGTCCACGAAGAAAGCCGTGAAGACCAAGACTGACAACTGCAGGGATCGCAAACGGGCAGCCTCTATCCAAAACTGGCTCAAGAAACCGCGGGTCAAGCAGTACCTCCAGAAGTCGGCCAAAGTGCACTTGAAAAAATACCACGACACCGTGGGAGCCTTGAGGAAGAGGCAGACGGAGCTCCACAAGGAAGTGAAGGAGAAAAAGAAGGAGAACTTCCACTTGCGCCGTGATGTGTTCGTCCACACGGTTGTTGGGACACTAAGCGCGCACCTCTCCGTACAAGCAACACACAAAGCACCGGAGCACATAGCGCAAGCAAGCAGCATTCGATACCATGGAAAGGAAAAGCTTCAGCAACCACCAACGTGGCAGCACCGCAACCCCCCCACGCAGCTACGCAACATAACAACACCAACGAAAGAAACAACAACCACAGTTCAACGACCAACACAGAAACTTTCTGTTTCCCCACAGCGCGCGGCCGAGAACGCCCGCAAAAACCTGGGCACCGCGAAGGACAAGAACGAGGGCTTGCGCAAGCAGCTGCGGGAGACTCAGGAGGAGCGAGACGACTGGAAGCAGAAAGCACGCACAGCCCGGCGGGAAGGCGAGGCGGCCGCTTGGGACGAGGCGGAGCCGGAGAACGAGAGCTTGCGGGCTAGCCTCACGAAGGCGCAGGCCTTTCGAGGGCGAAAAAACCTACCCCCCTCCCCCGGAGCAAACAAGCCAAACTTGGCGCCCGCCTAGGCGAGCGCCAAGGGGCGACCAAACCTCTCTCCCCAAACTCCATCAGGCGAAGTGCCGCGGCCTCTCCACGGAGAAGAACCGCTTCCTCCAGAACGCTTCCAAGGCGCAGCAGGCGAACTACTACGAGCTCGTGAGGCGGCCGAGAGGCCCCAGGGCGAGCGACCGGGACGGGTGCTTTGGCGCCCAGTAGCCTGCTGCCTCTGCAAACGGCAAATTCGGCCACCGGCCTTGCATGTGCAAGCCTAAAAAAACGACAAGCAAGGCGGAAGTGCGATGTCATGAACTTGGGGCCGAATGTGTTTCGATTCGCTTTATCATGAGATGACATGTACTTTGGATTGCTCTTCTCCTGAAGTTCAGCACAACGATGTATACTTCAAACCTGGAAAACGCAGCGGGGGTAAAAACATCTCTGAGCATGACTATATTCTGCACACACTCGTAATGAAGAGGGGCATCCAATATTGGATGCCCCCGTTTGGGAGGAGCCCGCGTCGTCTTTCACTTTCGGGGAGAAAATATTTTTGGTCGGCCCCCGTTCATATTTCCGAATATGGCAGCTATGAGGTTAGAGATGTCAACATGATGGGAAAAGAAGAAAGCACTCCAATATTGGATGCCCCCGTTTTTGAGGAGCTCGCGTTTGGAGGATTCGGTGGTGCTTCGCACTCTCGGGGTGGCGGGAGGGAGTGGTCCTATGTGATTGATGAAGCACAGCGGATGTCAATAACAACGATATTCACAACCACTGTTTCGCACGTCGTTTATCGGCTCAAGCACCCCGTTTGATCGGGTTTTCATTGTGGCAATTTGCGCCCCTTCATATCCCTGCTCTTGCGAACCACAATGGCGCTCGAGTGGGCGTTCGTCACTGACGTCGGCCCTGGCGCTGCCTTGCCGCCTGACACGGCGTGGCGCAAGCTCAGCGCCCGACAGAGCAACCGCGTGGCTGCTGGCCAGGACGGCGAGACGCATTCTGAAATGGAAAAGAATTGCGCCACAGGTTTGTTGCAAACCTGATGCGCGGTACTTTAAGTCTTCTTCGTGCTTCGGAAAAGACAGACATCCGGCGAAGACTGCGCTGGTCGGCTGGTCTTTTCTGCGGCGGAAGCAAGAAGACGGTGTAGATTTCAACAGCCGTTCGGAAAGAAACATAAGGACCGCATCTACTGTTGCATCGGCGGCTGGCCCATCTTCAAGACGTTCCGCAAGGGTTTAGGCCAGTTCCACGCGCCAGGCTTCGCGGGTCCCCTGTGGCACCCAGCTGACCCCGACCTTGAGGACATCATTGTTCGCCCTTCCTTCGACGTTGAGGTGGAGGCCACGTGCGTCGGCTTCAGCATTGCAGTGATGCTCCTATCGCCCGATCGCTGCATCCCTGCATCCGCTTCATTCATCATGATGTGATCAGATCATGAGATCAAGTCCTTATGTGTCTGCGCGCGTGTTCAATCGCGCGCGTGTCTGAATGCACGCGCGCATGTTTTGTGCATGTGCATAAGTAAATTGCGCGCTTAGACCGTGCAGTTATCGCGTCGTCGGCACAATCGGGCGTCGATCGCCCGGGCCCTTTCTGATTGGCCGTCCGATGACAGACTTGCTAAGGCCCGCACTTGCGACGTAAGCTTCATCACCCATGACGGCGCCACGACCACTGTGACGGATATCAGTAGAAAAAGAGCTTCAAGGTAGATCTCAGAGGGGGGGGCACGCAAATTATTACCTCCCGCGTCCAGCGTCGGTGGGGCACGCGAGCCGCTGCTCGGGCCCGCAGAGGCGGAGGCGTCGCACGTTGCCGATGCCGCCGCCGCTCGCGCCCCCGCAGGCGACGCGGCCGAGGGCGGCGGCCATGCCCGCTCCGATGGCCTTCGTTCCAGAGTGGAACCCCCTCCAGGTGCCGAGGAGGCGTGACGTCCCTGGCTCCTACCAACGGCGATGTTCTGGCAGTGATCCTCCGAGGCGTCGTCGGTCTCTATCCCTGGCATGGTCCTCCTTCTCAGCGCATTGGGTTATTATATTGTCGCGCGATTGGGATTCTGGCTGCGCTCGGAGCACTCCGCCACATAGTGGTGAAAGATCTCGCCGAGGTCGCATCGTCACTGTGCTGGTCACTGCCGTCTGCACGATAATCAAGAAGTGCGCGCATGGGGACCCAGGTCTGCCACGAAACGGGGAGCGCGCGAATGACATTGAGGGACATGCCCCGGACAACCGATAAACAATAGTCCCAAGGTTGCCCTGAAGGATGGCAGCATAATTGCCCCATCCCCTGTAATACGCCCGCTCTTGCCTGCACGCGCCCCCCCCGGTTTCCACAACGTCATTGCGGACAACTCGGGGCGCGCTGCCGACGCCGGCGATGTAAGCGTCGGACCGACCGACTGATTGACACGGTCGGCTACACCCATAAGCGGATGCAGTGCGGGCGATGTGTCCTTCCCCTCTTCCCCCTCGCGCTCCAGCGACGCAACTGACAATGGCCGCGGGCCCGCGGGCGAGTACCGCGAAGACATGAGAACCCCGACCATCTCGAACACAGTTCGAAAATACCCGAAGGGAAAAGCAGGCGGCGGGGGGCACGCTACTTGATGGCGGTGTCCTCGATGTTGTACTAGTGCGTCTCCCCCGTGCAAATGGACGGGTAAAAGAAAACGATTTCGGCGAACACGGCCATGCGCGCAGAGGGCGCGGCAGCGGGGATGACGCGGTGGCCATTGTTGAAGTCATCCTTCAGGTGGTTGACTATCACGATGGGAAGAAGGGGAGGTCTTCGCCATCGAAGCAGGGCAGCGGGGAAGCGCCATGGTGGCGCGTGGAAGGGAGCCGAAGCTCCGCTACCTAACTAGAAGTACAAGGGTGTAGGATGGAAGGGGGCTTCGCAAGGCGCGGATGAATCACACGAGGAGAAGAAAACGAGTCTAACAGGGGCACGGGGGCTGCAGCCTCGGGCCCCCCGAGAAATATACGGCAGCGGCAGTGAGAAACAATTAGGAGAGGCAGAAGGCAGTATAATCCAGTGACCTACCGTTCGACGCAGATGACGAGGGGGGGCAGGATGAGGAAAGAGGAAGGCGACAGAAAAGGGAGAGGCAGGTGGAGAACGATCGCCAACCATGGGACTCCAGGGTACCTAGTTTACCATGGTGTGAGCCTCATGTTCTCTTCACACTGATGTCGAAACACCGAAAGAGAATATGTTTCTCCTCCCCCTCTCCCTCTCGAGCATCCTCCAAACCTTTCGCAACTGGTCCAAAAGTCTCGCCGAAAGCGCGGACAATGAGAGACGCCGAGAACAGCTCATAGTCGCATGATCGGAGGCGGAGGGCGGGCTCCTGTGTGAAAAGTGAGCCGTTCTGCAGAAGTCAAAGAGGCATGCTGGCCAAACTGATGCGTACAGGGGCACGCAATCATGCTACATAATATGTCGTCACTCAGGGGATCGCATGAGCCTTGGTAGCAACCACCTCACGGCGCGACGCATCCCAAGACCACCAGGAGCTGCATGTGAGACGAAATCAGCAAACAACTGCATTAATGTTTAGTGTATGCGCCATGCCATGTAATACGAAGAACACTATGCGGAAGACTATGCCGAACAACATTTGAAACAATCGCACGGCACGCAAACAGCTAGAAGTAGCATACAATGATACATGATGACACCGATACGTGCAGACTGAGGCACAGGAAATTCACGTCTACTACGATTGTCAGCCCTATGTACGCGAGATCAAGTTATACAAGTCTTAGCCAGCCTGGGCCCGCAGCGATGATCTCTTACAATCTATGCGGTGCAATCTAGGTGGTCCAGTCCATAGGGTGCAACCTACGTGGCGCAAAACAATGCGAAGCAATGCGAACCAATACAAAGCAGCGCAAAGCAACGCAATGCGAAACGATCCATCACAATGCAAAGCAGCGCAAACCAATGCGAACCCATGCAAAACAATGCAACGCAATGCGAAACAGCGCGGCGACGGGCGGCGACGAGCCGGCCGGACCGCCCCTGAGAAAGAAGAAGCCCTAAATGCAAGCATTGTCAGGGGAATTAGGAGTACTCGGAAAACTCTCGATCAAGGTTCTCCTGCCTGTTGCCTGGACGCAACCACGCCACATCATCACGAATACTCCACGCTTCAGTACCACGACATCTCCATGCTTCAATCACCCACCCCCTGGGAACCATGCAGACGAGCAACGTTATCGGCTGGTTCGTGGCCACAATCGAGAACCAAGTCAACGGCCCTCCACATCCGGTCAAGAGGCACATGAGGGGGAGAGTGAGCAGAAGGACTGCAACTTCGACATGGAAGACCAGTGTATATATGGTCCAGGGCCTGCCCCTCCAATACGAATAGGATCGCCCCCCCCCCCCCGATGCGTCCCCCTCCCTTGTGGGCGTGGGGCGGTTCTGCCGCGGAACCCTCGTGGGGGTCCATTCTTCTTCGCCGCCGCCGCCGCCGTTGTCGTCGTCGTCGTCGTCGTCGTCGTGGTCTTGGCCGCCGTCGTCGTCGTCGTCGTCGTCGCCTCCATGCTGGTGTGGCGTTGTGTTGCAATGCTTCAGTGATTAGAGGTCGTCGTCTTCGTCGTCGTCGGCCCCCCCGTCCCATCTGGGGGGGCGGGCCCGAGGGACTCTGGGACCCATCGCATTTTTTTGGGGGGGGGCCTGCGGGCCTGCACCCTTGGAAAACAGATGTGCGCGTTCTACCCGAATCAAAACCTACTCTGCATTCTACTCATGGTGCTATCAAGAGGATCGGGGGGTGCGGTTCCAACCCCACTGGCGGCAAGACGCAGAGATCTGCCTCCGCTCCTTCGCTTCCCGCGCCACTTCTCGGGTGGGGCGACAAGGGGGTATGAAAAAGTGGTCAGCCAATCAGCTCGCGAAACTTATTTCTCTGGCGATTTCCAGCGCTGAAGGCAAGCACCCAAAAACTTCCCAGTATGCCAACAACAATCCAGAAAGAGGCCCACAAGGAGGGCTCCAAGAGGTCTCGCCAGTCGGGAAGGGTATTCCAGCGCTCCCCCGCCAGAGCGGGTAAGCGGGTGGACCCCTCCCAGTCGGCCACGTGACGTCTGGCGAGCGTGACGGTGAAGGGCGACGAAAAACACGCAGCCCCGAAGGATGCAGCGGCTCTCTGAACGCGGGCACGGCGCTGTGGGGCAGCGGAGGCGGCAGCTGCGACCTCGGCGAGGCCCTCTGCTCGAGCCGAGCTGATCACCTGGGCAGGGAAGAATACGCAGCGCTGGCCAGAGCAGAGGCTCGAGTAATATTGCACAATGGAGACGGGCTGACCCCAAAAAGGCAGTGACCAGTGCCCAGCGGTTCAGCGTGGGAAGTTGCTGATCGTGCTCTCCTCCCACGCCGTGTCGCGCAGGCGGGAAAAGAAGTCCTCCCAGTCGCCGCGAAGCGTGATCGAGGCGGAGCGCATGGCGGCAGCAACTGTGGCTGTCTGGAGCAAGGCTGGGCCGGTGTTGGAGCCCAGTCGGCCATTGCGACGAAGCCAATTTTTGCGAAACGAGTTCGGCGGCAGGGCCAGCATCTCTTGACATGTGTATAGCTCTCGGCGGATGGTTGACTGCTCCACAGGAAAGAACTGAACAACGTAGCTGAGTGTGGAGATCGCAGAATTATGCTACAAGCGAGCGGTGGCGTCGCTGCCCGACTGGACCCGATGCAACAAACTGCCGCGCTGCCACCACTCTTGCCCCGTGGGGTGCCATTCGCCCGAGGAGAGGCACTGCGGGGCCCAGGAGCATCCCCGAGGCATCTGGTGCGCCCCGCCATCGAAGAGACGAGCCAAGAAGGGGGGGGAACTCGGAAGGCAAACGGGTCCAAGCAACGGTGGCAGGCTTCACTTCGCTCCGGGGCGGGATGGCCACGCGCGTGCGCGGCTTCGGCGAGAGCAGGGCGAGCTTGTCAGCGGCGGCAAAACGGGCTCAACAGCGTGCTTCGCCCTCGCGAACTTGCAGCACAGTTCGGGTGTTGCTAGAAGTGCCCCTGGCCCACGGTGCCCCCAGCTTTTCGCTCCATTCTGGGGGACCCGGGGCCCTCTGGGCCTCGTGAGGGGTGCTCTGGAGGCCGTCTGGGCCACCCCGAGAATCCTGGGGGAACCTTGCGCCAGGAGTACTTCTAGCAACACCCGAACAGTAGACCGAGGTCGTCAGCGCACGCGCCTGCGCGGCCGCGGGACAGGTCGAGCGCGCCGCCGTCGTGCTCCACGATGGAGGCGACGCGGCACGCCACTGGGGGTCCAATGCGATGGCCCGCGCAGGGCCACTGGCGGGGCAGCCCTGAGCAACCCCCGGCCCGATGGCGAGCGTCACGAAGAGGATGATCGGAAGCCGGGCAAGGGCTGGTAAATCCGTGGCTGCTAAAATCGACCTCCGGGAAATTGTCTTCGTCCTTCCGGGAAGAAGCCCGTTGACGGTCGCGCGTGCCGCGCCTCATTCCGGGAGGTTGTTTTTTCCGTCCGGGAAGGCCGTTTTAGCAGCCACGGTTTTAGCAGCCCTCGCCCAGCTTCCGAGATGGCATCGACTTTAACACGCGAGGCGGGGGCGCAGTGCACGGCGCGGAGGAGGTTGAGCAGGCCCGCGGGGGCGCGGCAGTGCCGGGGCGGCGCGGAGAGAGCCAGGCCCCGCCCCGCCGCGGGGACGCCGCCGAGAGGCCGGAGCCGAGGAGGGCGGGGCGCGGTGGTCGGCGCGGTCGACCCGGAGGCATGCGCGGCGCCTCTCGGCGTCGAGGCGTACGGTGCGCTCGGCGGAATGCGTCCCGCCGCGAAGACCCGCCGCGCGATGTGCGCCCGCTGGAGCACGAAGGGCTTCAACGAGTCGTTGGCTGCGCCAGCGATGGCCTCGACGTCCGCGCTCTTCATCGAGAACGGAAGAGTGTCCTCGGGCGCCCTGTCCGCGGTGAGCTCCCCAGTCCAATTGTCACCTTTCGGGGGGAAGCGAACTCGGACTCGTTCAGGCCCGTCGGGGCCGACAGGCCCGAGCAAAGCAAGGAGAGGATCTCCAAGACGTCGAGGGAGCGGTCGCGGGCGAGCCGGGCAGAGCGCGGCAGGCAGTCGGGGCTAAGCGCCGACGGACTGGCACGGACGAGGAAAGCGTTGATTTGGTGCTTGTGCGGGGCTCCGACGACAATCGGGTCGCCGCGGGACATAACCTGCTCGACGCATTGCTGCGCTTGGGGCTGTCGATCGTCTTTGCTGCGAAGATGGGCTGCCGGTGTGCTCACAGGGCGTCGACCATGGCGCCGCCGTCTCTGGCGACCTTGGCGGGGCCCACCTGCGGGCCGGGCCCTGGGTGGCTCCTTTGAGGAAAAAGCGGCGCCTCCATGGGGCCCGGAGGAGCGACCGTTGTTGGGGGGGCCGAAAGATCGTTTGAGTTTCTTGGGAGGCATGGCGTCGGCCTGCACCTGAGGGCTGCGAGCATGCGAGCGGCGCCCTGCGCCAGAGAGCGCCGGCGGGCCCCGAAGTCGCGGCGCAGGGAGGCCGACAGGCTGGCGAAGAGGGAATCGCTCGACAAGGTGATGGAAGCGCCGTTGTTGACCAGGAACTGCCTGCCCAGGTCGGTGGCGGCATGGAAACGCCTTGCGAGGGCCTGCCGCCAGACGGCCCTGGAGATCGAGCGCACGGCGGCGACGCGGCCGCCATGGTAGCCCAGGCGGGCAGCGTCGCCATGAGATGAGCGAGCCCAGTCGTCACGAACCAGACGGGCAGCTTCTGTCGCGAATTCGAACTGAGGGTCGACTACAAAATTGATGTCCCAAAAACTGATTCCCCCCGTCAAATCTTCAACACAGACGTCGCATTGTGCATGGACTCGACGGAACAACCCGCCGGCCCCATTGTGGGGCCATCAGGCTGCGAGGATGAGGTTGCAGTGCCCTGCGCAAGTTCCAGTTTCCAGCTTCCAATGTTGCAGTCCTGCTCTCTGCTTCCTACTGTAATTTGGAAAATCCGCGGGAAGGGGGTGCCGAAAAAGGCCTGGTCACCACCCCCGATTCGCGCGCACTGAATTCTTGCAGGGCCGTGGGGCGCGTAAAAGTACATAAGGTTCGCGTTGCCGACCCAAACCTTCGCGCCCCCGAAGCCACGATCCGTCGCAAGTTGTTTCGCGCTCGCGCCCCCGAAACCAAGATCTTTCGTAACATGCACCCGCGACCCCGAGGCCACGACCCCTCGTAAATTACGCTGCGTTCGTGCTTCTGGGGCTACGACCCCCCATGAATTGCGTCACGTTTGCGCCCCCGTGGCTGCGATAGTTCGCGAATTACGCCGAACTCGCGCCCCCCAGGCAACGATCCCTTGTTACAAATTACACCACGCTCGCGCCCCCAAGCCCACGATCCCGTGCAAATTGCACCACATTCGCGCCCGCGAAGCCACGAAAAATGCACCAGGCTCACGCCCCCGAAGCCAGGATCTCATGTGAATTACGCTACGTTTGCGCTTCTGGGGTCATCATCTTTGTGAATTGCACTAAAATTGCGCCCCCCGAAGCCACGATCCTTCATGAATTATGCAATTTCCGCGTCCCCGAGGCCAGTGGTCCTCGAAAAGTATACAATTCTTGCGCCCCCGAAGCAACAAAACCCTTGTACATTGTTCAATATTCGCGTCCCCGAGGCCATGGACTTTCGCAAATTACGCAATGCTTGCGCCCCCGAAGCAGCGCACCCGCGTAAATTATCTTAAAGCTTTGAACCCTCGAGGCAGCAACCCGTTGTATATTATATAACAGTCGCGTCCCCGAGGCGAGAATCCCTTAGACATTACACCATATTCGCGTCCCCGAAGCCACAAACTCTAGCACATTGCAGAGTACTCGCGCGTCCGAAGCCAAAACCCATCGTTCGTTAAGCGATTTTCGTGCCCCCGAGGCCACAAACCCTGGTAAACTGTACAGTCCTTGCGTCCCCGAGGCAACGAAAAAAAATCAAATGTTTTACTGCGCGCTTCCACTTAGCCATAAAGCCTCGCAAATGAAACCGTTTTCGCATTGCCAAGACCAGGAGTGCTCCAAGACGCCCGAAGATGGTTCCAAGACGGCCCAAGAAGTCCCAAGGGCGCTACAAGAGGCCTCCCGAGCGAAACCCAAGAGGCCAACTTCGCCGACTTCCCAAATTGCGTTTGAAAGAATATGGGGGTCTCGCGTTGTCGGCTTCCCGACGCTCCACGATGGCTCGACCAACTCCCATGACCGCCCCGAAACAACCCGACACACCTCCAAGATGGCCCAAGAAGCGCCCCGGAAAGCCGCGCGAAGCCTCGATGCCCCACGAGGCGCCCAATGCGCGCAAAAATACGCCCCCCAAGAAGCCCAGAAGATACCCCGCGAAGCCCCTAGGGGCGCCGCAACCGCCTCCACGAGGCCCCCGAGAGGCCCCCCACGACGCCCCAACATATACAAAAGGCCTCAGACCCACTACCCAGACACGGTGGCGGAAAGGAACCAAGGCCACTTCGCTAACGCCAACGTCTCACATGCGCTGATGAGTCCGGCCCGGCCCCGCATGGTGTTCCCAGACGCGCCGAGGCAGCGCCGAGACGCACCGACGCGACTCTGATATATCCCATTCTGATAGAGAGGGGGCCGGCGGCAGGGGGCAGAGAGGGGGCCTGCGGCAGGGGGCGAAGCCCTTGCGTTTGAATCTTGGAGTAAACCCATACTGCAGTCGAACCCCTGCTCGATGAATCGCCGGCGCGACCGCCAGCGGTGCTCGATGGGGGCGCAGGGGGCGTTGGAGGCGTCGAGAAGCTGCCGGAGGTAGATGGAGTGCCTCGGGTCGCGGAAAATCGCGGGCGGAATGGCCCGCGGGTCAGGGGGCGCGCGCGGCCAAACCCGATGGCAAAGGAGATAGCGGCGCGGTCATTGAGGCGTTCGCCCGACAGTATGGTCGCGTCGCGGGCGATGTCGACCCGCGTGGTGAACTTCTGCGCGGCGTGCGATGGGGGGGCTGCTGAAGGCGCGCTCGATCGCCGACGCCACGGAATCCGTCCTGTTGAACCTCGTCGGCAGGTCCGGCTCGAGCATGGAGTCGAAGAAGAATTTCCGGAACGGCTGCTGCTAGCGGTTGTTGTTGTCGAGCACGAGGCGGGCGCGTTGCGACTGCGGCCGGGCAGAGCTGTCGGGTCGGCGGCTGGCGGCGTTGGAGTCGCAATCGCCAAGAATGCGTGGCGCTGGTAGTTTTACCCGTCCCACTCGTGCTGCGCGTGCCAGGCAGCGCGGGCCCTGTCGCGATCTCATGCCGCCAGCTCGTGTCTGTGGACACTCATCAAGACCAAGGCGTTGCGCGATGAAGCACTGATTGCGGCGAGCAGCTGGATGCGTCTAGGCGCGCGTACGCTGTGAAAGATGATCGGCCGGGTCTTGCGGAAATTGCGCGGGCTGCGTCGGCCTGAGCCGCGGGAGATGGCGGCGCCGCCGATGGCCGCGGACGCGGCGCCCCTGGTGGAGGTGAACACGTAGCAGTAGCGCGTGTGCGGGCACGGTTGCGCGTCCACCCGCGCGCGGAGCAATGCCTCGTAGCCGCGGGCCTCCTGCAGGAGGGTGACGCACTGGCGCCGCGTGAACTTGGAGAGGGCGGCCTGCTTGCGCCCGCGCGCTGACGCGCTCGCAGCGCGTCAGCGCGCGGGCGATCCGTCTGACGAAGGCGGCGGGCGACGAGCCTCGCGGGCGCCGCCGTGACGCCCGCGGGCGGTTAGGGGCGCCAAGTGGCCGACGCGGCACCAGAGAGGGGGGCCTCGAAGGCCGCGAGGACGGCGGCGCGGCCAATGCCTTGGAATTAATGGCGCTCGAGCGCCTTCTCGTTCCACTCGGGGATGGCGGGGCCAGCCTGGCCGCGGATGTCGAGGCGGACAACTAGCGCGGCGTTGCCGTGGATCTCGCCTTGGTTGCGGATGGCGCGCCACTGCAGGTCGGGGCACTGGTGCTGGAGCAACGTGTGAAATTTCTCGCATTGGATCTCGGCGCGGACTTGATTCGGCGACTTGTCTGGGTCGAGGCACGGGCGAGCGTGTTCCACGACTCGCAAAGTCACTACTCGCAAGTGGCCTGGATCCGCCGCGGGGGACTTGCGATGCATTGCACGGAAGAGAACATGGTACTTCTTACACTTGCGAGTCGGAACTTTGCCAGTGTAGGAGCGCGCTCGTGGTAGGTAAAGGTCGACGCGCTGCCCGCCGGTGTCCGCGGAGACGAGGCGCTTCCACTTGCCGGCGGCATCGTGAAGGGCCCTTGAAGGGGCGAGCGCGCGAAGCGCGGCGACTTCCCGAGCCCATTCGACTTGCAGAATAAAGCGGCGAGCGGGTTCGTCTCCGCGAAATTCGACGCGGTCGGATTGAAGGCCCGCGCCGCCGATCCACCCCTGCTGATCGTCGGGGTGGATTTCGGGCGCGGCGAGGCGCCGGCAGCCGACGGCGAAGAGCGCGGCGTCTGGAGCACGGTCCCGCTCGGCGAGCTGCGCCAAGTGCACGATCGGGATCTGCGCCTCCGCGAAGGCGAGGGTGTCGCGCATCTGATTGACTTGTTGCCACGTGCGTCGTTGCTGTTCGGCAGCTTGACGATCTTGCTCGCGATGGGTGTGAGCAAACGAAACCGCCAAGTTGTCCACTCGTCGCTCTGTCTGCAGACCGTGACCCTGCGGAGGGAGCAGAAGCGATCCCGAAACAACCCGCGGAACCGACCTGCTCGAATGCGGAACGTGTCGACGGCGTGGGTAACCTGCTGCTGCATGCGATTCTTAACGGCTGCGCCCAGCTCTTCGGGGAGGGCATGAACTCGGGCTGCATTGGTGGGGCCAAGGGTAGGATTTACATCGCCATATGCAGCGGGAGCCTCGGGGCGACCACCGCCTTGTGGACGCTCTTGCGATGGGCAGTGGCGAACTTGTCCAAGTCGTTGCCAGCGAAGGGCGCCGGGAGTCTTGGCCCTGACATTCTTGTGTAGGGAAGGTGGCGAACTTGTCGATGCCAGAGCCCGCTGCGAAAAACGCCATGGGGCCTGTCTTTGTCTCGTGGGGCGCCGTCACCTGAAAGGCCAGCGGATGCAAGGCGGGCCGGGGAACGACCAATGCGGGCAGATCGCGGTGCAGCGCGGCCTGAGGGGCGTCCCGAGGGGGCGGCTACAGCACGTTGGACAGCTGCGAGGGCACCGCGGGCTGCATCAGCTCGAGGGCATTGGGCATCCTGTCGGAGGCCACGGCCACGGTGATCTGATTGATGTTGGCGCTGGCGTCTGACTCTGGGAGCTGAGGACGAGGGAAAGCTGCGCGCTGCCGAACGCTCGTTGCCGCTGCCACTTCCTCTGCTGACTGCCATGACTGTGATGCGGCCGGGAAAAGCAGGGTGCTGCTCAGGGAGAGGATGTGTCGCAACTTGCCAACGACACGGGGCGATGCGCTGCCAGAACGTGACGACGGAGAGGTCGATGGGGTGGGCGGGGGCAGCGGCGCCGTGCTCGACGAACGCTACGAACGGCTCGGAGCGGGGCTCGGCGAGGGGCGATGGACGGCTCGGAACAGAGCTCAGCGAGCGGATCTGGACGGCCGCAAGGTCAGTGCGAGAAGCAGGACAAGGCGGGATGGGCAGCCGCAAGCCTCTGGTTGCGGCGACAGGTCAGCGAAGACCCGTGGGAACCTGCCCCGTGGAGGAAGTGGACAGGACACCATGTTGGCCTTGAGCCAACATAGCCAGGGAAGTTCAGATAAGGAAGAAGACGAGCATGTGGAGAAGGAGGACGAAGAAATGGCGGTGGTTCTCAGCATCTGGTCGAGTGTGCAATACTAGTCTGATTAGAAGTGACCGCTGTACGCATACTGAGGGCAACTCTTCTCGCGAAACTTGAAGGTCGGCACTCCCGTCACGACTCGATGTCAAATCAAGGAACACCATAGAAACCGTTTGGGTCGAGAAGCCCAACGAAATCACCCCGAACAGTGCGCAATGGCACAAACACCCGATAGTGAGAAGAAAGACGTCTCAACTCACACACGCGCGCACACAGCACAACACGGGAACGGGAAAGAGGGAAAGCGAGAACACGAGGACACAACACCACAAGAGGACACCGAGTCAAGAGAGAACAGGAGAACGGAGGCAGGCGGATAAGCAACGCCCAGATTCAGAGGAAGCCGATCTGACGCGGTAGCCCCTGTACTCAGCAATGCAGACAAACCCAATCGTGTCAAACTGGGCGGGGGGGCGATGTGTTGACACCCCTCGCCCCGTCCCGGCCGCGCGGCCGACACCACGAGGGCCCACGCATAGGTAACAAAACGCAAGCAACCATGCCTGCCATACCTGACGCGTGCAAACAGGAGCGGGGGAGAGGGAAAGCGAGTACACGAGGGCACAACACCACAGGAGGATACCGAGGGGAGAGGGAACAGGAAGGCGGAGGCAGGCGGAGAAACATCACACTCAGTGTAGGCGAGGCCTCCGCGCTTAAATCAGACCTCAGCCCCGACCTTTCCCTTTGCCTGTTCGGGGCTTACGCGTTGTACGACTGTCGGCCCGAAAATTGAAGTCTACCTCGCTCCGAAACGCACTGCGTGATGATGCTGAGGATGATGAGGGTGATGCTGATGCTGATGATGATGGTGGTGATGATGATGCTGCTGCTGATGATGATGATGATGATGATGATGATGGTGATGGTGATGGTGATGGTGATGCTGATGATGCTGCTGATGATGATGGTGGTAAGGACGATGATGACGATGATGACGATGCTGATGAGGAGGAGGAAGAAAAGAAAAGAAAAGAGGAGGGGGGAAGAAACGGAAGTGGGAAGGAGGGGGAGAAGGATGTGGGGGAGAAGGTGGAGGAGGACGTGGGAGGAGAAGGTGGAGGGAAGGGGGGGCGGGGAAGAGGGCTGCGATGGACAGGAAGAGGACGGGCACATACAGCACAACGGCGGGCGGACGCTCCGTGCGCTTCACGCTGCCGAGCTGCAGGCTGCCCCCCCCCCCCCCGCGGCTGCCGAGGCGAACTCCGCTCGCGCTCGCCGCGCCCCCCCCCCCCTCGCCTGCGCCCTCGAGCTGCAGGGAACTCCTGCGCGCGGGGGGGGGGGGGGGGGGCGACGGGCGCGCGGAGAGAGGCAGCGGCCTGGAGCCTCCGGAGCGGAAGATGGGAGGGGGGGGGAGCAAACGAGGAGGGAGGATGAAGGAGAAGCGGAAAGAGGTGGAGGAGGGGGCGAAGGGAGGGAGGAGGAAGGAGGAGGAAAGAGCAGGGATACTGAGGAGGTGTAAGGAGGGGAGGAACAGGAAGGGAGGGAACAAGGGGGGCAGGAAGGAGGAAAGGGTGGGAGGAAGAGCGATCCCTAAACGACCCTGGCCTGCAGGCTACGAAATAAGAAAAGCGTTGCTGCGCTCATCTCTGCAGCATGATTTGCGTAGAAAAATTGTCGCTTCGCATCAACCAAGCGTTCTTCACGTCGCAGATTCCTCAGGGGGGGGGACCATCGACCAGAGGACCAAAAGTATCCTTGTGACGAAGTCGGTTTCATCTCACGGATTCCAGTCTCACTTCATCGCGGCGACGACCCCCAACAAAATACACAATATAGTGCGTGTGATCCACGGACAACTCCAGTCAGTGCCGAACAAAGCCCAGGCACATCAGGCGGACAAGATCTTCCAGCAGCTATTTTGGAGGAGCACAAAAGCGCATAAACATAATTTATCTGAGGTCTGCGCGGGTTTCGTGGATTTGCGATGGACCACCCCTCCCCGGAGCGCGCCAAGGGAGGCGTCAGAGGCGCCGCCAGACGTTCCATGACTCCCACTGTTTGTGCCAATACTTGCTGGATTTTCGTCGTCCTCTCCACCCCCATCTGTTCCAGCATTTTACTGGACGTCGACGCTAATTTTGTGTCGGTGTCTTTTTGTTTCTTCTGGAGGTTTGCTGTCTTGTGGCGTGGGGCCCTCGTGCTTCGGGCCTTGGCGGCTGCTGGAGTGGATGCCTCGGCCGAGCGAGCGCCGGGGCAGCCGTCACCCCCAGATGAGCTCAAACGTGAGGCCCGCAGGGTCTGCTTTGCCCCAGATGGCGTTCACGAAAACATATTCTGTACGAGCCAACGTCAGGGCGGGCAGCCGTGACCGCCCAGAGCTAACACGCGAGATTTGCCAGGGCTTCGTATCCAAGGTGGGACTCGAAAGCATCACCCTTGTGCAATCCATTTGTGTAATCCAGAGCCCGGATAGCGCAGCGCATGTACGCGCCCGCGCGCGCCAGCGCAAATCTGCAAGCCCCCGCGCGAATCTAAGCCCACGCGCGTCCGCCCGCGCACACTCGCGGTCCTGTGCGCCCGCGGCGCGCACGGGCGCCCACCAAACACGGACGCGCACGGGCCAGGAAATTTCGTTTGGGAGCTGCGCAGGAGGCTTGCACACGCCGACTCCGAGCAAGCGCTGTCTGGGAGCTGCTTGGACTCTACCCGCGATCCCAGGAAGTGCCGCTGTCCAGGAACTGCCAAGGCGCTGCTCGCGAGCCGAGGAAACTCTGCCCAGGAACTGCGTAGGAGCTGCGCGCGGGCGAGCTCTGGGAGCGTAGCGAAAAAAACTTTTCGAGCGCTTCCGGCACACGTACCGGGAACGAGTAGGAAACGCATAAGGAAAAAACTGCAGGCCCACGCAACTTGTTGCGAAGATACCTGCCAGACAGCCGTGGGGAGAGCTGGTCTAGACCTGCCTGCCAGCTTTTTGGGGGCCTCTTGGGGGGCATCTTGGGGGCCTATCTGGGGCTCTTGAACTGTCTTAGGGAGTTCGTTGTCCGTCTGACGCCTTCGGAGGCTGGCTTCCGGATCCCTGGGGGCCCTCTTGGAGAACTGTCGGGCCGTCTTCGGGCCATCCTTGGATCGCCTTGCCGGCCCCAGGGGCCATCATGCAGCCCTCTTCTTGGGCCCTCTTGTGGCTATTTTGGGGGACTCTTGGGCCGTCTTGGGCTGATAATGGAAGCATCCGTGGCTGCTTGGGCCTGTCATGAGCCCGATGAGACGACGAAATTGGAAAGGGGGGTCGGGGGGCCCAGCTTCGCCTACGGCGACGCCCATATCCAACTCTGCTATACCGTAGTAACGATAGTCCCAAGAGCAGGAGAGAGCCGCGGGAGCGACGAGCCATGTCAAGCGAAGATGTTTTCGGTCTCGACGGCAAATCGCGTGCCTCGCGATGAGGCGCGGTCATATGTTGGCGGCCGGCCGCTTGAGCCAAACGGCCGCGGCCAAACGCTCGTTACCTCTCGCCTTTTGCCCAACCTCCTTTAGAATCGGGTGGGGGGGAAACGAAGCGTGAGTCCGCCGCCAGATATACAGCACAACGCTATAATACACAAGGTAGGCAGCAGCAGGCGGGTTCAAGGAAAGGCAGGTTGACCTGCATGCAAGTTACCTTGCAAGCAAGCTCTCTCGCAGGCAAGTTGCCCTGCAAGTACCTACTCCTCAGGCGGTTCAGATAATCTTGTCTGGCAAGCCCTATAAGGAGTGTCGTTTTAGGTCGTGCTTGAAGGATTGCGTTCCTCCCATGACATGTAGGAGCATGTCTCTGTCGATGCTCCCCTTGGTGTGGCCATCCGCAGTCATATCGCGAGTGTCGCACCATTGCACACAGTGCACGACACCTCGCTCCATCACTTGTCGCATCCAACTGATGTGCCCCAGGAGCGTGCACTCAGTCGGTTTCGTCAAGTCTTTGCTTGCCAATGATGAGGACACATGCTGCATCGATGGTCAAGGTGACCTTAATGTTCAGGCCGCCCATCTCAACTGCATCCTTCAATTGAGAGGGTGTCAGCGGCCCTGCGTGGAGTTCGCGCAGAGTGACGGTCGTGGGATAGCAGTCCTCCAAGTTGTGGGCTTTTGCAAGTGTCGCCGCTGAGTAGCTGGAACGGACCTGCAAGCGGTGGAACTTGCAGTGCGCGTCGACCAGATGGACGACGAGCTCACAAGCATGCGCACGTCCACGCCTCAGCAAGTCTGCCCCGCGAATACTATAGCCTTTGACTTCGTCATCTGTATCTCCGTTCAGACGCCGGCATCCGGAGTCGCTGTGCAGGTCGACCTCGCCCGTTGGAGTCATCGCTTGATAGGCGACCTTTCTAGGGCAGGCCTGCAACTTCCTTGTAGTCGCGCTCAGTCGTCGCACTGGCATGTTGGTCGGTTCCTGGGCGCGCTGCAGTGATGCAGCATATGCCAGTAAACGCACTTGTGTGATAATGGCGTGAGCCAGAGCGCCTCCGAGGCTGACAAGCATGTAAGTAACCATCTTCGATGCCTTGGCCTCAGCATCCGCGCCCGCGAGTTCATGGTGCTGGATCGGACGGAGCTGTTCGATGTATCCACCTTGGCCAAGTGTAACATAGCCGTCGCTGTCCCTCGCATACCTCGCGGCGGAATTAGTATATGCGTGTTTGTTGAGTTTCGATGCCCCAGCAATATCCCCAACAAAATTGACGCACTTGTCAATGGTGTCCCCGGTGCCAGCCACGCATGCGTCATCGACGTGCATGGCCGTGAAGGTCTGCGCTTGTCTCGAACTCCTCATCGTAGGACATGGGTTCATGACCAAACCTCTAGCGGTTGTCCTGGGCTTGAATGAGAAGGTTCTCGGTGCATCCTTGGTGCCAGTGCCTGGTTTATGGCGCTGCAACCAGTGCCTCGACTCATCGTGGTGCTCGAATCCAGGGAGGGACCTGAGCGCAAATGCTGACCCAAGGGGCAACGTAGAGCATGCCACGCGTTCCCTTTCACCGGTTGCTTAAGCGAGCTCCTGATAGGCAAGTGCCTTCAGGGAGGCCATGTTGATGTCGAGGGAAGCAATGATCGACTGCTTCCTGCACGCTGCCGCGCTGGCGAGCAGTCGCTAACATGGCCGCCGCGCCGTCCCTGATAATGTTTCCAAATCGAAGGTTTCGAGGCCCACGAACCTCCGAAGTACCAAGGGTAGTCCGATGGCACGCACCTTCTCGCCCTGTTCGTTCTTGATGAACTCCCATGTATAGACGCACCTCGAAGCCAAGGTGCTTGACGCTTGAGATCTATATCATAGCTTGAAATACTTGTTGTCAAACCATGTCTTGAGTTCAGTGCGTAGGGCTATCGACACCTTGACTGGATTCGCCTGGATATCTGCCTTCGTGAGAGAATCGTCCTCCTTGACGACAACAGCTCGCGTGCCTGCCGCGGTCACATCTACTCGCAAAGTGGTCACGCGGCCGAAGTCTAATCTCCTGTGCTGTTGTTTGGATACGACTACCTTCGACATTTCTGCCGTAAAGCAGAATTCTGCGTATTGTCCGTGCTCCTCAGAGCTCAATCCGAAACTGTCATCTTCGTCGGTGGAACACCATGGGACATGCTATGTCTCAGTTGTGTCTATGTCCCGTGCGCTACCCCGCGCAGGCAGGTGCCCCCGCTGTTCTTCCGCTACTGTGACCAGCAAACTGGTGTCAGCACTCATCTGTGTGGGTACAGTGTAGAGCTCGTCTTCTGGAGTTGCTTACAATAATTCCCTTTTCAACTTGTAGTTCTGTGTACAACGCTCCCATAATGTGTGCCTCGAGGTCCGCCTCTGGTCCCTCATCGATGGTGGGAAGCCGTCCATCTTCCTGTGGCGGTTCCATTTCTGGGGCCTCCCTGGCGTCGTTGCCATGAACTGCTGATCGGCCAGTTATTCGAATTTCGTCGCGTCTTGATCTGAACCCGCTGGAGGTTTGGTGGACTTCAGTCACTGGATGACACTCGCGTGTGCTGGTCCAGTTATGTATTGCATGGTTAGGGCAGCGCTTCGGCTTCGTAGTAATGGAAACCTGTTTTCACGTCGTTGTCATAGCGCACCAGTGCGCAGCTGTCAGCATGCGCCACCAGAGGAAACTCGTGGATGCTCTTGGCCAGCCCGACAGAAACTACGTTTTCAGTGCGAAAGAAATTTCTGATGAGGTACTGAAGAGCTGAGCGTACCTTAGGAGATAGTCGGCTTGCACTCGTCATCTGGAATACTCCCTTTTTGGTCGGGAGGTATCCAAAGGCCGAAGCAGGTCGCAGTCCGCAATGCTGC